CAATCCTATCTTCTACATCTGAAATTCTATCCTTGCCTTGGCTCATTCTGCTGTGTAAACTTTCAATGGAGTTTTAAATTTTCTGTAAATCTGTTTGCATCTGTTTTATGGATTCCATTTGTTTTCTACATTGGGATTCCATCATGTTCCACAGCTCCTGTATTTTTTACCTGTGTCCATTCTAGATTTATTAATCAGGTCTTGTACTCTGGGCACAATCTCTGCTGTTATCTGAGAAATTATTTCTGATTTCATTTTGTTCCAGATCCTCTTTTGTTGCCTGTTCAGGGAGTCCAGGTGGTTGAGTATCAAATTGTTCCATCTCGTTTCCCTTTGGGGTTGCCTTAGGTGATCTGAAAGTCTGGTTTTGAGATTTATTTACATGTCTTCTCATTTCAACAGATGCAGCCTGCTGTGCCTTTGTTGAGGTCACTTTTTGCTCACCCAATGGTCTTGAAATCTCAGCAAGCCACCAAGCAGCCTTTAATCTGCTGCTCACCAGTACACCAATTCCTCAGTTCAGAGTGGTGGCCTTCTGGATCCCTGAGCTGACCTGTGGTCTGGGCAGGCTTCTGGCTGGGGCCTGTGCACACTTGGGATTGTATCTAGGCATTCCTCTCACTGGGGCCCAAATGTAGCTGTTTTCTGGGAGGGCCTTTGGCTGGGGACTGTGCACCCCAGTTCCTGTTGTCTGCACAAGCTTTAACTAGGGTCTCCACACACTTATCAATGGCATTGGGGCAAGCCTCTGGGTTTTGCTTGGGTGCCTGTGTAGCTCTTTTCAAGGTGAGGCCCTGGCTATGGCCAATGGTATGGAGGGCCTCTGGCTGAAGCTTGTGCACCTGTTCAGTTCTTTTCTGGGCAGGCGTTTGGCTTGGGCTGGTGTGCAGGAGACTCTGGAGTCTGGGTGGAGCCCTGGATGGGATCTGCCTGCAGCTGCACCAGTCTGGGCCTCACAGCTGCTCCCTGGTACCTTGTATGTACTTTTCTTTAAACATCAAAAGGTAAATTTTCTAGAGACAGGAAAATCAAAGAGAGACACAGGCAAACAGAGAGACAGATAAAGAGACAGAGACAAAGAGACAGAGATAGAGAGACAGACATCCCAGGAAAATCTTGTAATCCTATAATCAATGACTGGCCAAGGTGCCCTCCTTCCATGAAGCCACCAGGGAGTGTATGTCCCCTTGTGGACCCACTGTAATGCACCCAAAATGGCAGGAGGCTCAAGGCCTCAACTTCATCTTTCATGACATGTGGTTCTTTGTCATCTATAAAGTCCTCCTCCAACCCTGCTAATGAGTGAATTTTTCCTCACAGTAATATTTCTCTCCAGTTTCAACCTCCCAATGATTCTCACAGGAGCATGTCCTCTGAAAATGATGGCCTCTGCTTTTGTAATCAATGATATTTATCTTTACCCGTTGGGATTGTGTCATTAATAGGAAAGAGGTGTCCTCTGTGTCACAGTTTGGGTTGAGGATTGGGGTATCCCAGGAGGCTGGAGTCAGCTTAACCAAGTGCCTACAGTGGCTTGGCACAACAGTAGGAAGACAAGCTTTGTATTCCCATCCCCAGGCTTCCTTCATTTCAATCTGCTAAAATTACCTGGTTTTGATATACAGTTATGTTTATGAAATACAGTTATGCATCATGGTTAATGGAGAAACATTCTGAGAATTGTGTCATTGTGCAAACATTGTAGGGTGCACTTACACAGACCTAGATAGTACAGGACAATTGCTTGATGTGACTGCTGATACAATCAAGAGACATGACAATGATGTGCCATGAGGTTGCTGCTGGTATAACACAGAATATTTACAATAAACTTTTTAAATAAGTAGAAGGAGTCTACATTAAAATAATGATAAAAACTATAGTATAGTGAATCATAGTGAAACCAGTAACATAATTGTTTATTATGATTGAGTGCTATGTACATAATTATATGTGCTATACTTTTATCTGATGGCTGTAGGTTTGTTTACTTCAGTATCTGAGAATCTACTCTATGTCTACATTCTGCTTGTTTCTGGAAACCCATACAATCCTGGATTTTAGCAGCATAAATCCAATTTCTACTTCATCATCCAGTGGTATTCCTCTTGCATGTCTACCTCTTCTCCTTTTTTTTAACAAGGATGCTAGTCCTATTGGATTAGTACCTGACCTTCATAACTTCATCTGAACTTGGTTACATCTACAATGCCCTATTTTAACATAAGATCACATTTAGTAGTATTGGGGCTTAGAACTTCAACAGATTTTAATGGGGAGCATAATTTAACCCTTAACACTTGCTAAAGATTTTGCGGAAGATATTTTCTGGGAAATCAAATGATTAAACCCAAATCAAGAAACACAAAAGATCTAAGAAACCAGTTATCTCATGGAGGAAAGTAGTGAAATGTCAGGATGACATCTGGGTGTCAACAACAAAGCAAACAGTCTACATTGGAGGATGGGGGGTAAAGGATGGGGGCCTCTGAGACGAGGATGTGAAAGTTTATGGACGACTTATTGTATTTGAGAATAAAGGAAAAATCTACAGAAATAAAATATACTCAAAGGGTATAATTAAGGATATGTACATAAGTATGCAAGATTTTTGTTTTTTGGTTTTTTGAGTTTTTTGATACCAGGGATCAAACTCGGGTCCTTGCACTTGCGCAGCAGGCGGCAAAACCACTGAGCTAAATCCCCGGCCCCAGTATGCAAGATTTTTAATGGAACAACTAACTCCAAGAAAGTAAAATGTTACTCACAGGATGGAAAACAGTCCTTTAAAACTATTTGAGTCTGCTCAATTAAAAAAAATACTCAGGTCTCCATGAGCAATATTTATATAATCCTAATAATGAAAGCACTGAATCTTTTTTTTTTTTTTAGCGACTCTTGATATAATCAAGAAACTATTTGGAAGGATGAGGAATGGAAAATGAGAGACATTTAAAGACAAAAATCTTCAACTATCTTAACTGGAAATCAATAGATAATGTCAAACTAAAAATAAACCAAGAAATATCATTAGAAGCATAATCTTAAATACATAGGTCAGTACAAAAAAGACATAGCTAAGACAGTTAAAATGTTTGCCTCTAGGGAGAGACACTGGGGTGGCTACTATTTGGGATGTAATATTTCAGAAACCACTTGAATTTTAACACTTAATACAAATATGATTAAAACATTTTTAAAGAAAAGAATTAATGAGAGGAAAAGTATTTCTCTTATAAAACCTTGCCCAGTTTCCTCTATTGGGCCTCAATAATACTTCACATGTTACTCCATTACAGTCTTCTCTCATTTTACAGCTACTCTTAATTTCTGCCCAGCCTTCCTGCCTGTGTGGATCTGAGCCCTACTTTAGCTGACTCCAGCTGGCTCCAAATGCAGTCTAATCTGATATGATATGAAAAATCAATCTCCCCAAAGGAAGAGTAGTCACTCTATTGAGTCTAACTGATAGACTGACCTCAAGTCATACCTAGGAGACTGAGGACTGTGACCAACCCACTGCCAGCCCTCCTTTTCCTCCTGGGTCCCATGAGCATGGTCAGTCTTATTGATGGGATTTCTGTGCAGATTCCTGGCTCCCCTCCCTGCTGCAGTGTCTTGCTCTGATTAGAACCTATCCCTGATACTCAAGCTTCATGGTTAGTATGTTTCAAGCTCATCTAGGTCTTCTGGATCTCTACCATCCTTAGGGGTGGGCTATGCTTCCAACAGTCATCCTTCCACTCCAACCTCCTTTTCTCTACTCTAGTCACTCCTGGCCTCTGCGCGCCCCTCACAGGCCCAGCAGAGGCTGAGATGCTGATGTCCTCCAGAGAATGAAGACCTTCAGAGGTCCCCACACAGACCACTCAGGTCAAGTTCCCTAAACATCTGCACTAGACCAGACCTGACTCTAGTTTACTCTTTTTGTAGAATTTTATCTATTAATGCAATCAGAAAAGGGTTGATTTTTTTCCCCTCCATCTATACACCATGTTTCCTTACCACTAAATAGAGTAGCTAAACCGTTTTAGTAAATATTGGTAATTGAACATTAACTAAATTGGCTCTTCCAAGGAGGCACTCTGTTCCTCCTCTCAGTTGATGCGTGATTTCTTCCTGTCTCCACTATTTTTTAATTGTTCCAATCATAACAGAAAGAATTTATTAAAAGTTCTGCCTCCCTCACTCTTGACTGTGAGATTCTATAGCTGCATATCTATGTTTGTCTCTGTCAGTTCCAAGTTCAAAACACAGGACATTGTAGATGCTCAACAAATGTTTATTGAGTAAATTTGATTTAAAAAATTGAATGAATAAATAAATCTGCTTTTGAAAATCCCAGTAGAGCCTACAGATGCATTTTCCATGCATTAAATATTAACATAGATACTAGCAAAGCTTCCCGTAAGAACTATTATTCATTCTTTAGGAAGTTTTAGTTGTCTCATTACAATATGAGGGGATGAGATTGTTTTAATATAAGTTGCTTGAAAAGTTCACATACCCGTCAGTGTCAAAAAGGATGAAGTGTCTAAGAGATGTAGCTCCTCAAATCTCAGACAGCTTTCATCAGGACACCAGCACTGCTGTAGAAAACTGTATTGTTACAAGAGGCTTTGCAGGTGGTAAACCACCTTACCAGAGAGGCTTGCCTGGTTACTCTCCTCAAACTTGACACTCCACACTTCCCACATCATGGCCAGAACTCCGCATCACATTTCATACTCTGCTTTTCCCCATAGCATTTGCCTACAGTTAGGGAAGCTCATTTGAGCATCAGCAACCAAAGTCTTTATTGGGGTACCATGATCCACACAAGAACTTTCTGAAGCAACGAGCTTCTTCTGTATCACTTGAGTAATGGCTACACAATGTAATGACACAAAACCTTGTAGTCACAAAACTTTGAGCTATATCCTTAAAATCTGTGGACTCTACAGTAATATAAATTATGCTTCAATAAAGTTCTCTTAGCATTCAAGGGAATTAAAGGGAACTGGGCTATAGCTCAGTGGTAGAGCATGTGTTTAGCAGGCACAAGGTCCTAGGTTCAACTCCTAGTGCCTCAAAAAAAAAATTTAAAGAGCTACAAATATAAACTGTGAAAATTTCTGTATTATATACTGAGATAAAACTTTTTTTAAAAAAAAGATGTGCCTCTCACACTCAGCCTTTGGACAGTTGTTATGCACTGAGCGCTTGTGTCCCCTCAGAATTCACATTTTGAAACCAAATCCTGATGTGATTGTATTTGGAGCTGGGCCTTTAAGGAAGCAAGTAAGGTTAACTTAGATCTTACAGGTGGACCCCTGATCCAGCAGGATTATTGATCTTCTAGGAGATACCAGGGAGCACTCTCTCTGTGTTCACCCACAAATAAAGGAGTTGTTGAGCAAACAGAGTTGGTGACCACCTGCATGCCAAGAGAAGCCACAGGATGAAATCTACCTGATCTTGGATTTCCCCACCTCCAGAACTATGAGAAATAAATTTCTCTTGTTTAAAGGCCACCCAGGCTACAGTACTTTGTTGCCAGGCTGAGTAGACTAATATCAGTGTAATGAATTGACTGCCAACTCCAGCTACTCTACTGTGGAATCCCTCTTGGTGCTAGAGATGAGGGCGCTCTTCACACCAGCTGCTTCCTGCCCGCCATTGCATGGGGCAGGGATGCTAAAGCCAGCCCAATCCTGGTGTGGGGGTCTCCTCTTACAGACTACTTCCCCATCAGCCTTATCAAAACTTTCTCAGCACAACAGTGCAGCCTAAAATTCTTCCTCCTCTCTGCTCCACAGCAGTCAGTCTATCACTGTCATCTGACATCTCCAATTCATGCCACTTCCCAACTCCTCTCTCAGACTGTTCCCCCAGTAAATCTCTTCAAACTGTCTTACCATAGTGGCATCTGCTTCTCCAGACCCAGGTTAACACAACGCCTTAGAGAAGGGAAAGAGATAGAGACAACAAATCAGGTAGCAGAAGAAAAAAACAGCGATCAATTAACAAGAATAGTTAGAAGAGGGCTGGGATTTAGCTCAGTGGTTTCGTTGCCTGCTTCACAAGTGCAAGGACCCGAGTTCGATCCCCGGTACCAAAAAAAACCAACCAAACAAAGAATAGTTAGAATATTAGAGAAAATGCAAACATTGACTGCTTATATGGCAGCCTTGCCTCATTATTCTTTTTTGTTTTAGTTAGAAGTGAATTTTCTTTTTTTTTCCTTTTCTTTTTGTTTTTATTCAAGTCTTTTATTCTCTTACTGGCTTTAAGTATACATTTTCTTTTTTTCATTTTTAATTTTTTGGTACAATTTAGATTTACATAATGATCACATTCGTCATAGGGAATTTGTACGTTTACATGATCTACCTTGATTCCATTTTTCCCCCCATTCCCCTCTCCTCCCTTCAACCCCTCTTCCCCTTCCTTATTTACAAAAGCTCTGCTTCCATTTTTTTCTTCTTTTCTCATTTTTTTCTTTTTTCTTCCTTTCCCTTTCCTTTCCCTTTCCCCCCTCTCTAGTTCCCCCTTCCTTTTGAACAATTTTTTTCTTATTTCACATTGTATATTATACATTTTGGCTCCTATTTACATTTTCCATTTCTTGCACCAGAGAGGCAATGCAACATTTACATGTGTGTCCCGTTTATTTCACTGAAAAAGTATGGCTTTGAGGTGCATCCATTTAGCTATTAATGCCTCAAGTTTATCCTTCTTAATGGCAGAGTAGTACTCTATTGCGTAGAAACACCAAGTCCTCTTTATCCATTCATCAGTGGATGGGCATTTGGCCTATTTCCAAGATTTAGCTGTTACAAACTGTGTCATTATAATCATGGGTGAGCATATATCACTGTGATATGATGCTTTTAATGCTTTTGAGAAGATACCTAGCGGGGGCATAGCTGGGTCAAATGGGGCCTCTAATCCTAGTTTAAAGTGATGTCACCTGTGATATCCAAGGGAGTAGAGCTTTCTTTGAAACCACTGAGTTAACTTCAGTTGATTGAAAACCGCTTCCTAGTATCAAAATATTCCCAGTTTCAGTACTTTACCATTCTCTACTCAAATCTTAAGCCATTATAAATAAGCTTATGGTCTTAGTCATTGTCCATTATCACAAATATACTAAGGTTGTTAAAAAAAATTGGGTCACAGAGCTCATGAAGCTAAATATTAAACTACCAAGGACCTGAAGGGCTGGCTGTGTTTGTCTGGACAGCTTTAGAAACATTTCATCTTATTTAATTACTTAAAGCAATTCAGTCCATCGCACTACTTCAGGCAGGAAAAGAGTATATAACAACATCACTTAATCTCATCATGCCTTGCCAGTAACTCCTTCCTGAGTCTTTAGTGTGAGTGCTGAGAATGCTGTAATTTGAATGTGGTTTGTTCCTGGAGGGTCCATATGTTGGCAGTATTGTGGCATGGTAAACCTCTGAGATATGATGGCTAGTGCAAGGCTGTTAGAGCATTGGTGCGCACTGTTGGAGGGGATTAACTACAGTGGTACCTCAGTCCACGAGTGCTTTTGTTTGCAAACAATTTGGTTCACAAACAGAAGCATTTGGCAACATTTTTATTTTGTTTGTAGACTGAGTTGGGTGACACACATAACTGTGGCCATTTTTCCCACACAAACAGAAATGTGGCCATCTTTTCCAAAATCATAGAATAAATTTAATTTGTGGACTGAGGCACCACTGTGCTTCTCCTAGGACTCCAGTCCCCCCCCCACCCCCCATCGCTCCTCTTCCTGTCTCACCACGTGAGCTATCCATTTCTCACACACTCTGACTATTGTGAAGCCATCTACCCTGAGATTCTCACTACAGCCAACCAGTGAGAGCACCATGCCCTGCCCTTAAAGCTTCAGAACTGTTAGATAATAAATCTCTTTTCTTTATAAAGTATCTAGCTTCAGGTATTTCATGATAATAACAAAACAGACTCATACAGGGATGTTCTGTCATTATTCACGTGCAGCAGTAACTGTGATCCCAGAAGTGTGGCTGGAGATTTGTCAACACATCATAAACTTTCTTTCTATAACTCTGGACATTTCTATATCAAGAGTCATGCTGTATAGAACACTTTGTATATCCTAAAAGTGGGGCAGAAAATGTAAAATTCCCAGGGTCTTCTTAACTAGGTGCTTACGTGTTCCAATGAAGAACTGCAGGTTATTTTTTGGTAATTGTTTTTATAAAGACAAAAGAAAAACACTCAGAAATCTATAGGTTTTGTTTCTTAAGGGAAGATGGAAAACCTACTTTGGCTTAGGCATATTCTGCAATAGATGTTTATTCTCTGACCATATTACAGGTTAAATTGTATTATATTTTCATAATCTGTTCACCAGTGACTCCACTTGGCATCTCTACCCTGGCTGTGCTTACTGAAATGCAGATCTCGGGACACTCTCTGTTAGTTCCATTAGTGCATGTTTGCAGTCGGTACGTGGACATTTTCATAAGTTGTTTTCATCCCCTACTCCTCCTCTCCCTCCCTGCTTCTTCCACCTTTTGGTCTCCTTCACATTTTCAAAAGCTCTATTTTCATTCTTTTCTTCTTCAATTCTTTTCTTTTCATCCCCATTCCCTCTGTCCTTTGCTCCCCCATCCATTTGAAAATTATTTTCCTACCTTCTTCATATGTCTACTTCAATATTTAATAGAAATCTGAAACTTAACCTGTCAAAAAAATTAAGCCCTGACTTTCTCCCTCTCAATTAACAGCAGTTCCCTCCTTCTAGCTGCTTAGGCTGAAAATGCTAAACCTTCTGTCTTTCTTTTATTCTTTAATTCAATTTATCATAAATTCCTACTCACTCTCTCTTTTTTTTTGGTACCGGGGATCAAACTCCGGTCCTTGCGCTTGCGCAGCAAGCAGTGAAACCACTGAGCTAAATCCCCCGCCCTACTCACTCTCTCTTTAAAATACATTCAGACTCTGGCTACTTCTCAGCACTTCCTGTGCTGGTGCCCAAGCCACCCTTATTGCTCATCAGGACCACTGCAGTAACCTCTTACCTGGTTTTCCTTCCTCCACCCTTTCCCCTCTATGATTTTCAACATGGCAGCAAATTACTTTAAAATAGAAATCAGATCAAGTCACTTTTCTAGTCAAAACTTTCCAGGGGCCCTCATTTCTCTAAAAATAAAACCCAAAGATGTCTATAGGGTCTAACCATTTCTCTGAGATCCTACTCAACCCTCAATAACCCACCTTCCTCTAGCCACACTGGTCCCCTTACTTTTCCTGAAATCAATATAGTGTACTTCTACTCCAGAACTTTAGCACTGGCTTTTATGATTTGCTCTTTTGCAGGTAGTCGTCTAGATACCCATCTTTCCCACTCTGCACTTGAGTTTCCTTAATGGTACACTGATAAACTCAAGGTAAAAACTCCACCCAACTTATATGTACATAAACGAAATTTTTTACATCAGTAGAATTATACTGTGTACATTATCCTTCAATTCTCTTTTCCAATTTAAAATTTGTCCTTGAAATGCCACATAGCTCATGACCTTCCTCATTTTTAACTTCATTTGTGTTTAACAGCAGCACTGAATTCTATTATATAGATATATAATACTGCAGCAGGGATAATGTCAAATTTATAGATGAATTTGGGGAGAATTATCATAGTCATGATGTTGAGACTCTTTTTCTTGTGCAACCTCCTACCCCACCCTCTGGAGACCATCCTTCTACTTCTTTTGAATGTTAATCCAAGTTTCATAATCTCTAAACTATATTTGGTCATGATCTGTTAGCCTTCTAAGTATCACTAGATTCAATTTGCCAATAATTTGTTTAGGATTTTAGGGCATCTGTGCTCAAGAGAGACATTGTTTTTTTTCTTTGTTTCTTTTTTGGAATATTCTTTGCAGATTTTGGGGTCAAGATCGTATAAGCATTAAAAATATTTGTATGTAACATTTCCCATTGTTCTCTCTTCTCTAGAACAGTTTGTGTTAAATTTAGTGTTTTTCATCCTTGATGAAGGGAAGAATTGACCCTTCATTTTATTCTCCTTTATGAGGTTTTCATTAAGGGA